AATTATGTGGTTGCTATGAGTCAACACTGACATGATGTCTGTCTGTCCGTCTGTCCGTCCATCTGTCCATCCATCCATCCATCCATCCATCCATCCATCCATCCATCCATCCTTCCAACCAGTCTAATGTCTCTTCTGCAGTGGTAAGTGCAATAGAGGCTAGCAGTGATTGATTGATTAATTGATTAAACAAACTTATATAGCTGCCCATCTACCAAAAGGAACTCTGAAGATTTGAGAATATTCTACATAAACAATATTGAAGATCTCGCAGGAGAGCTACCAACCAAAATAGACAATTCAGAACATGCACCCAGTGAACAGGAATAAATTCAGTCTTTACAAAGGGGACTCTAAAGCTGACACTAAGGGACATCAGGGTAACATGGATGAGATGTACCACGGAGAAGAGACACACTCTGTTCATCCACTTCCTAGTCTCATAAGCCAAGAAATTTCCAGAGTGGGAGGTCTCTTCATTAACAAGCACAAGAATATTTACAGCCATTCGAAAAAAACAGCAACAGCAACTATGTAGGGATAATGTAAAAGAAGGCATGCAAAATGTAGAGGATGTGAATATAAACAGTGGAAGTACATCTATTAAAAAGCAACAGACTCCACTTAACTTCAAACAGCTATTGGAACAACGGGGTGGTTGCCTCCCTGTTAGGGGGGTGGGAAAAAAAATACACTTTGGAAATCTGGAGCCATCAGTCCCTTGCAGATGATCAGGAAGAGAATGGAGTATCTGAGTCTGGTGCCTTAACCACTGGGCTACAGCAATTTGCTTTCCCAAAGGAAGGTGTGAGAAGATATAATCTGGAGCAGGGCTTTGTTCACATAACCTTTGGCTGGGATTCAAAGCTTGCAGAGGAGAAATGGAAGAGCATTGGTCTCCTTGGGATCAAGTTGGTTTTTGAGGACTTGGGACTTCATAGACAGGCCCATGTGGTTTTCTTGGCAACCAGACGGAAGTAATTTGCCACTGCCTATGTCTAGGAAGTTTGGGGATCTTCTGGTGGTCTTCCATGCAAGTACAAACCAAGTCTGTCACTTCTGAGATCAACTAAGATGCTAACCATCTAGCTGGGCAACAGAAGCATCATTGGGAGGGCCGCTGTGGAAAGCAGCATTTTTCAAACTGGTGGTTTTCAGACATGGGACTACAATGTCCACTATCATCACCAAGCATGGTGCTCCAACGTGGCTGGAGGTGGCTCATTTAGGACAGGGTTGTTTTTAAAAGGACAGAAGCAGAGCCTAACATGAAGTTATCCACTGGGGTAGCCCACCTTGGCAACGAAATATTGAAGCCAATTTTATATAATGGACTCAATGCCAGAACAGAGGCAGGAGGGCATGCCATGGCAGATCTCAACACTCCACCCTACTGTCTTTCCTAGATCTAATATCTATGAAATTAAAAAACGAAATGAAACAGAACCTTTGGTGGAACAAAAGGAACAGTATCCAATGGGATTGGTATCTATTTTGCTGTTATTTAAAGGTTGAAATATCAGGAATATAGAAGAAGCACCTTGGATGTAGCAATGGGCAAAGGATGTAGGGAGAAAAACAGATGCAGAGGAGTGTAAACAGATATGAAGAGAAGGTGTCTCATCTTCAAACTGTGCTGTTGCAAAAAATAAAAAAAAGTTACAAATTAGGTCAGGGTTAGGAGAGAGATGGGGTGTGGGGAGAGGGGAGGAAAAGCTGATTGGTGGAGATATTGCAGAAGACACAGAATTCAAGAACGGGACTGATGGGTCTCTAGGTTCCTCATTATTTTCACTTCACTTCCGTGTGGTGTGAAGGAGGCACTAGAGAACTTGCTTCAGAAGAACTTCCAAGGTATTTTTTTAATAAATTGCAAAAACAGCTTGGGGAATGGAGGAGCAAAGATGGGTGAGTGATGTCACTTGCTGAACACTTGCTGATACAGGCTCACCACGCTGGATGGATTCCCCTCTTTCTCCCACATGCAACCTCCAATCCCACTCCTAGCTCCCCAAGGCTGACTCATGAATATTTCTGGATGATGTAATTCAAATGCATGTTACCATGTTTGGGGGAAAACAGTGGAGATTTAGACCGTGGGGGTGGGCATTCTAAAACAGTGGAGATTTAGACCGTGGGGGTGGGCATTCTAAAACAGTGGAGATTTAGACCGTGGGGGTGGGCATTCTAAAACAGTGGAGATTTAGACCGTGGGGGTGGGCATTCTGGCCGTGGGGCTACAAGCTGCACCGGGCGCACTTGCTTGTCTGCAAGCTTTCTGAAGCAAGCCTGTCGGTTCTCAAACATGCTGCGCACGTTCTCCAGCTTGATCTGGACCATCTGTATCCGGGCCTGTGGATCCCCCAAAACAAGAAACTTATAAGCAACAATCAAAACTGTTTCTTACATTTCATCATGCCCAGTTCCTGGGTGGTTGAAGGCAGATTGCAAGCAAGGCAATTGATCTGTCTTTCCAGACCACAGCAGGTGTTGACATCCAGGCATTGATCAACAGGTGCTTCCCACCTTTAGCTTTTCTCTGGTTCAAAGTAGCTATCCTGAACATTTGGGAAATGAGTTTTTCCTACTTCACCAATGGATAGCAGAAGAGCTAGGTGAGTTAGGTAAAGCAAAACAGGGCAACATCTGAGTGGTTGGGGGCTTCCTCAATTTCTGGAAGGTCACCGAGAACCACCTGGGGATGCTGGGACAGGAGCACGTTGAAGGTTTTTCAGCCCGTTTGGGTTCATTTAGGGGTTAAAGAGTTGGAATAGGAGTTGGACAGCTCAGAGTGGCAAGGGGATACCCTTAGCCCCCTCCCAAACTCAAAATGCTATTTGAAATGGCTGAACCTGGCCATTTTGCCCCCTCAACTTCATTGGCACAGTATTAGGGGGTTGGGGAGCCAGGAGGCCCGGGGGACTGCCAGAGAAAGCAGGGGGTTTAAAACGAGCCCTCAAAATGTTACACCTGTTTTCTGCTTTTTGAGTTGTTTCAAACCCTGCTTCAGTTCTGGGGAGGGGTTGTCTTCCTCCATTCTGATCACCAGGATGCAACTGAGATTTGTCTGGAATGGACCTGAGATACAAAAATGTTGAAGTTGCCCCATGTAGGGGCTACCATGACCTCCTATCGAGGCAAGCAAGTTTAACATCCCTGGAATCTTCAACTGGTTGGGTTTTTTGCAATGAGTTGGGTGCCTTCAATCTAACTGGGGGATGCCAGTTCCTCCAGAGAAGGCAGCCAGGTTCCTTTACATAACAGTCACTGACCATGCTACCAGTGTGAGAATCCTCTCTTAACACATACCTTGAGCTCCGGTGTTAGGATGAGATGAAAGTTAGAGGATAGGGCTTGGGGATCTATGTTTAAATGCAGCGAAGAGCTCTCAAGAAACTTCTCTATGTCTTGGAGAGCTTTCTGGGCCCCTTCCCGGGACTGGCATTTATCCAGTGGCTGGTTGGCTAGAAGATACACACCTTCATCACAGCATTCCATGGCCTGACAGAGAGGCAAGATGGATAAACAAGGTCCATGAGTAGAACCAGGAAGCCCCAAACCATTATCACTTCTCCATCTGCAACTCCACCATCTCCTACTGATGAAGACAAGGATGGTCGAAGCAATGTCTTCATGCATCTACTTTGTTGGATTACCTGCTGCAGAGAGGTGAGGAGGTCCAATGTTTGCTGGAGCCTGTTGCATTTCTTTTTGATTTCCTCCAACAAGATGTCGGAATGGTGACGCAGTTCGTTGCACTGCTGGCAAATCAAGTTGAGGGCATAATGGTGGTTGGCAGCCATTTGGTGTCCGTGAAGAATCACCACTTGAGCCTTTCCTGTTAAATCCTTTTAAAGTCAGAGAAGGGAAAATGGGATGGAGCTATGTCAAAATCATGAGGTAGTGTTACCTCCCATAACTTTCAACTCTTTTTTTCCCGATTCCATTTCTGACGCTTCTCATACCATAAAACTTCGCAACCTTCATTCTCGCCATCTGAACATAGATTGCTTTAATCTTTGGATTGCTTTTCCCTGAAGGTGGCAATGTGGTCTCCAAACTGCTTTATTGAGACAGGTGGACCTTCCCAGGATTCTGCTGTCAAATTCCCTGGAGTCAAATTCAACTCCTAGACCTGTAGTTTCTTGGTCACAAGACCAAAGTGGTTTGTCATTATCTTCCCCTGGGACATTTTTTCAACTTCCCAGGGAAGCCAACAGCTCTGAGATTCTCCAGTGGTCTCCAATTCAAGTACCAACCAGGTTGGACCCTGCAGAGCTTCTGAGATCAGCCAGGACTGCCTAAATGTGCTTCCAGTCAAATAATCCAAAAGGAATGGATCATTTTTCCCCCAGAAGAAAGCTAAATAAGATCCGTAAGGTTAGCTTCGCCCCTGAAAATAGGAATCCCACCAAGTTCATGAAGATCCGCCTCCCACAGGTCCTCTCCACTTGCATTCCATAATACCCCTCTCCTGTCTTTTGGGGGACCTCTCCCTGTCCAAGATAATACTAAGCTAAGAGCATCCTTCGTCAACCCCAAGGAGAAGCTGGTCCAAATTCAGAGGTCTGTTTTCCATGGCAACGGGATTCACCTGCGCTGCTTTGTCCAAGTTATCCAGCTCTGAGAGCCTTTGCTTCACTTGAGAGATATTTTCTCCAGTGTCCGACAATTCCCGTTGCTGGACCAGTAAGAATTCCAGGGCTTTACTGAGCTGAAAAGAAAGAATCTTTTCTTTCAAAGGAAAAAAAAACAAAACAAAAACAGAGGGTGGCATAATTTATTTAGAACTAGCAGCTTGTGGCTCTCACACTGCTTGAAAACCCAGATCCTCCTCCCCGTTTTGGTTTGGGTGAGATCTAGAGCCTCCCACCCCCAGAATGCACTGCT